GAGAGTAAATGCATTTCTATCCTATTTAATTTTAATATATTTTGAAACAAGTAATCTCTTTTGATTTGATGAGCTAAATAAATTAAGTAATTTATGTGTTTAATATGCAAAGCCTTAAAGCTTATAATTTATTTCTATCATTTGATTGAAGCGATACATGACCCGTGATTAATTCTTCATTGTGTAAATAATGCTCACAAATGGAAGTACCTGAAAATAGGAAGTGGATGAATAATAGAGTTGATTATCACAAGAATATCACTGCAGAATTTAATATTGGAGTTCATGATTTTATTGTGTTTGCTTTAGCACAAGATAAAAATAACATTGGAAGAGGGAATATTAGATGTCCGTGTAAGAACTGCAAATGTTTGAAATTTGGAAATCCAAAAGAAGTGAAGGAACATTTATGCAGGAGAGGATTCATGAGTGATTATTATCATTGGACAAGCCATGGTGAGGTGATTCCTCTGATTCCCCCAGTGGTTGCTAGTCATTCATATTATGGAAGTAGATGTCAGAGGGAAATGTTTGATAATTATGAGCAGTTAGTAATGGATGTTGCAGGACCAGAAATTGGAAATTATAGAGAAAGAAGGTCAAGACGAAGAAGATATAATGGAAGAATATCCTAATGAAGAAGCACAAAAGTTCTTTGAAATGTTGAAAGCACCACGATCACCTTTATGGGATGGTTGTGATAGATATTTTATGTTGTCAGCATCTTTAACAACATTAAGTTTGAAAGCAGACTATGGGTTGTCTGAAGGCTGTTTCAATGGATGGATGCAGTTTATGGGAAATGTTTTGCAAGAGAATAACTGTATGCCTAAAAATTTTTATCAAGCAAGAAAATCGATTGCTGAACTAGGGTTGGCAAGTTTAAAAATTGAATGTTGTATGAAAGGATGTATGTTGTATTATAAGGAGGACGACACACTCCAAAAATGTAAAATATATGGAGAGGAGCGATACAAGCATATTAGAAGACGGTGGCATGATAAATTAGTTCCACGAAAACATATGTGGTACTTCCCACTTGTTCCGCGACTACAACGTTTGTATTCTTCATTACAAACAGCTCGCAAAATGAGATGGCATCATGAGAATCAAAGGGATAATGGTTCATTGTCTCATCCGTCAGATGCAAAAGCTTGGAAACACTTTAATGAAACATGGCATGACTTTGCTCGAGATCATCGAAATGTTAGATTAGGCTTGTGCTCGGATGGCTTTGCTCCATTTGACAAAACAGGCAAGCTTTATTCTTGTTGGCCTGTGATTATTACTCCATATAATTTGCCACCTTGGATGTGCATGAGAAGGGAGTTTATGTTCTTAAAAATTATAATTCCTGGCCCATCCAATCCAAAGAGGAATAGTGATGTGTATTTACGCCCTTTGATAGATGAATTGAAAATGTTATGGAACGATGGAGTTATGACTTATGATGTTTCCTTGAAGCAAAAATTTTTGATGAAGACTACAGTAATGTGGACTATTAATGACTTTCCAGCCTATGGTATGTTAAGTGGTTGGATGACGATGGGAAAACTAGCATGCCCAATTTGCATGAATAATTCTAAGGCATTCACCCTTGAATCCAGTAAAAAAAACCTCATGGTTTGATTGTCATCGACAATTCTTACCACTAAATCACCCGTATAAAAGGAATAAGACTGCATTTACAAAAGGTAGAGTTGAGATGCCAATGCCTCCACAAAGGTTGAGTGGTCAAGAGGTGTGGGCAAAAGTTAGAAAATTTCCTAGTGTGGAAAAATCCGAAGAATGTAAACCACCAGGCTATGAGGTAAATCATCATTGGACAAAACGAAGTATATTTTGGGAACTTCCATATTGGAAAACTCATCTTCTCCTACACAATCTTGATGTAATGCACATTGAGAGAAATGTGTTTCTTAATATTTTATTCATTGTAATGGACATCAAAGGTAAGACAAAAGATACTTTAAACTCTAAGAGGGACTTGAAAAAACATTGCAAGCGTAGGGGACTTAAGCTTCAACCTGGTAGGAATGGTAACTTTGTAAAACCAAAGGCACAATATACATTAACCAAACAACAACGAATAGTTGTATGTGAATGGGTTAAAAACCTTAAGCTTCCAGATGGTTATGTTTCTAAGTAGATGTGTTGATATGAAGGAAGCAAAGTTGTTTGGCATGAAGAGTCATGACTGTCATGTATTCATGCAACGTTTGCTACCAATAACCGTCAAATCCTTACCCAAACCTATTTTAAATACACTAACTGAATTTAGACAATTCTTCGTAGAAATCACATCATCTTCATTGAGAGAGGATAAATTGTGTAATTTATAGGAAAACATTTCAATCATAATGTGCAAATTAGAACAAATATTTCCTCCAAGCTTTTTTGACTCAATGGAACATCTTCCTATTCATTTAGCTTATGAAGCAAGAGTTGGTGGTCCTGTGCAATATAGATGGATGTATCCATTTGAAAGGTTAATTATCCAACATTTTTACAATTTCTTGGTTAATTTCCTTATTTTTCTTCATTTATCTAAGTATAATCTTGATTTGGTCAATAGGTTCATCCGAACTTTAAAACAAAAGGTAACAAATCCTGCTCATGTGGAAGGTTCGATTTGTAGAGCATATTTATTAGAGGAGATGTCCACATTTGCTTCCTATTATTATCCATCTGATGTTCCATCAAGGAGAACAAGAGTGCCACACAATGATGATGGGGGAGAGGATTTTTCATTGGGTCATCCGTTGTCAATATTTAATTACCCAGGCCGTCCATTTGGAAAATGTACCACTTCTACCTTGGATGATAGGGAAATGAAAGTTGCACACTTGTATATTCTTTTAAATTGTCTTGAAGTGGTACCTTACCTAAAGTAAGTATTTCAAAGTTGAAAGTTTCATACATGTATTTTTTTATGAAGTAAAGTTTAACGAGTATCATATTTGTTTAGCATGCACTCTGATTTGTTACGAGAGTTAGATCCTGAGTTGAATGAATCGGATTTGGACAAGCAAGCTTCCGCATCATTTCCGATATGGTTCAAAACATATGTACGTGAATATTTATAGGTTAGAGTATCCAATTTTTTGGGTTGAATTCAAAATATTTTGTCTAATGTAGGTGCTTGATTCAAGGAACAAGATAGATGATGTGCTTTTAAGGAGTTTGGCATGGGGTCCTATTAGAGAAGTTGTTAAGTGGTCTGGTTATGTTATTAATGGCTACAAGTTTGTAACGAAATCTCGAAATGAAGGGATGAGTACAACCAATCACAATGTTTGTTTCGGGGAGGGCAATTTGATTCATTGGAAAATGATTACTATGGAGTTTTTATTGACATTGTCGAACTAGAGTACACTGGTCACCCAACAAAGAAGGCGGTTTTATTTCAATGTGATTGGTTTGATCCTAGTTCTCAAGGGACAAAGTTGGATAACTATGGCAATATTGAGATAAAAAAATTCTAGAAGATATCCAAATTATGATCCTTTTATATTATCCCAACAAGCTGACCAAGTTTACTTTACATCTTTTCCTGAAGGGCAACAAGGTTGGCTAGGTGTCGTAAAAACCAAGGCACGAAGTACTATTAAATACATGGAAAAAACAAACACGAAATAACTGATGCATATCAAGATGATGATGTACATCAAATACCTATAGTTGTTTCTAATGATGATTTTCATCAATGCCATGTTGACATTAATGGTATAGGAGAAGAAGTGCCAATCTCTTTGTTGAAACAACTTGAATCAAAACAAGTGGAAAGAAGGGATGAGGATAAGGAAGAGGAAGAGGATAAGGATGAGGAGGAGGAAGAGGAAGAAGAGGATGACGAAGAGGACAAGGAAGAGGATGAAGAGGAGAAGAATGAGGAGGAAGAAGATGAATGGGATGAGGACAACAATTATGATTATGATGGTATTATGCATTATTTATTCATGGAAAATATTATTTGTTTTTTTTTGTATATTTATGAATAAGTCAATATAATACTTGTGTTATTCTTATGCATATTTATGTAAATTATTGTTTGTTTGTGTGTATGTTTGTTTAATTTGTACTTATTAATGTTCATTAATCAATTTGATGTTTTTATTTATATATATAGATGGAGGACAATGATAAAACGAAGGGTGGAGGAAGAGGTATCGATAGAGGTATTAGTAGAGGTAAGAGAGGTTAGGACTACTACTACTTTGTCACAATTTATTATTGGCCAACCTGCGAATACTCAACTTCCCCATTCCACTTTTATCCCCCATGTTTCACCCGAGAGAGTTAGGGATACCACTACTTTGTCACAAACTATTATTAGGAAACCTACAAATAATTTCACATCTCATAAAGTTATAAATACTCCACTTCCCACCTCTACTCCTATACCTCATGTTTCATCTGAAAGAGGTAAGGGTACCACTACTTTGTCACCATCTATTAATGTCCATCCTACAAACTCTTCCACATCTCATAGAGTCACACATTCTCAATTTCAACACTTCATCCCTAGCTCTCATGTTTCATCTGAAAAAGGTAGGGGTACCACTATTTTGTCACCATCTATTGTTGGCCAGCCTACAAATTCTTCCACATCTCATAGACCTGCACATTCTCAATTTCAATGCTCCACTCCTAGCCCTCATATTTCCTCCTCAGTTAGTCCACCTATTTCTTCTCCGCCTAGCTCATCACATGTCCCATCAGCTAATGCATCCGGTGATGATCCACATGTATCATCATCCCATGTTGATTCACCTCCACAAATTGGAAGTAAAGACCCCACTGATGGAAGGGCTTGGATTCGTCCAGGTCCACAAAAAATGTAAGTTTTAATAACTTCCTTTAATTTATAATTAAATCATGATTTTATCTTACAATTTCTTTAAATTTTTTGTAGTTTTGACCCTGCAATTCAGCCTACATGAGAGATTGCGAAAATTATCAAACGTAAGTTTGTAGTGTCTTAGACAAACTATGGAGAGATGAAGGGCAAGGAAGAATTTAAAACTGTGAACGAATTATGGCTTGGAGAGTTTAAGGTATGAAAAGAATTTTAAATTATATATCAAGCGTGTTAAAAAATTGGAAAATTGAATTCCTTGTAAAATGGAATATATATCCTAGTTATACTTTAGTAGAAATAAACTAACAATACGATACATAGAGGAGGATGCTTTGTTCTGTACCTTATGCAATGTTGAGCATATGAAAAATGTCGTATATGAAAACCATAGTAGAATCTTATTATTCAGTCATAGATACACCCCTTATTAAATGAAGTGTATATAACCATATCCCTTATGTCGGAAGGAGTGTGCCATGTAATTTTTTCCTTCATAGCATAACCATGGAAGGGGTGAGATTATGCTAAAACAGTAAGTACATGGAATACATAATTATGATTTCCATGGAACGAAAAAATATGAAGTATGATTTCCAGAATAAAATATAATAATGATTTCTAGATTTTAACTTATTCTACTAAAGTATTGTCTGAATGGTAACTTATTCTAATTATAAACCATGATTTCCAAATTTTATAAGTATGTTAAAAAAATATGAAGTTATAGTAGCCACAAAATAATCAGATTATACTTTCTTTCGAACCGTAAAATAATTTATCTTAAGTAAATATCATAATTACTTTAATATCCAATTCTATATTGTCTTATATTGTCTATGTTGTAGAGAAAGTACAAGTGGCTACTTGAACATGAAGACGAAATTAAGAACATATTTGATCATAAAGCCTCTGATGCATATTCAAACACAATGTATAGGGTGAGAAAAAAAATTGATCCAGGTGATTGGATTCCTACTGAAACACTCAAGATATTAGAAAAAAAATGGAATGACGATAAGTGGAAAAGAAAGTCAGAAATTAACACTCACAATAGAAGATTTTCGGATGGTCCACTACATACTAGAGGATCAATTCCAACAACCGAGCACTATAAGAGATTAGTAAGAAATTTAATTTCTTTTGTTATGTTAAATATTTCAATTTTAATTAACATTGATTTTTTTTTCTTTTTAAAAAGAATCCTCAGATACAAATCCAACTTGTTGGGACTTATTTCAAAAGACACACAGAGTGAAGGGTAACCCAAACAAATGGGTTTCTACAAAATTAGAGATGGTTGCGGTAAATAATTTCATAAAAAAAAATTTTAACATGTTATTTTAATGTTTGTAACAATGAATTAATGTTTTTATTGATGATATATGAATGTTTTTTATATGATAAAGTATTTGTATTGATGATGTATCAATTTACTCTTTATGCATATGCTTCAATTTATTATGAAATCTAAAACATAATGTTAAAATAAATATAAAACTAATTTACTGATTCATACATATTAATCATTAATTTTCCCAATTTCATCTTTAAGATCATTCTACTTTGATGCATGTGCTAATCATGATTTTTCCATATGCTTCAGACTATTATGCTTGTATTGTATCATGGTTTTCCCATGTGCTAATAATTGTTTTCGTATATGCTTGTACTATGCTTGAACTAAATCAATTTACTCTTTATGCATATGCTTCAATTTATTATAAAATCTAAAATATAATGCTAAAATAAATATAAAACTAACTTACTAATTCAAATATATTAACTAGTGATTTTCTCAATTGCATCTTTAAGATCATTCTACTTTGATATATCACATAAGAATCGACTTGATTATACTAGTGCAAATTTAGAATTGTGCGAGTTACTATGAACTATTAATATTATGTTATTTTGTGTTTGAATGATTATATTCTTCCGCTGTACTTAATTGTTATTTACAGAATGAGTATGAAAAAAGGATTCTTGAGAGGGACTCACAAGAGGCACATGGAGATGATGTTTCTAGTCATCAATCTGACAACAACATCTTCTTAGATGTTGTTGGAGGAGTGGACAAGAAGGGTCGTATATATGGTTTGGGACCAGAAGCAGCAAAGTACAAGTCATTTAGATCTTCAACATTTGACGGTATCTCATCATCTGAATATTAACAAATGAGGACTGTTATTTCTGATTTGTCTGCTGAAAATAACACCCTTAAAGAGAAACTTAAGACTCGTGAGGATTTGATTCGTGCATCACAAGAAGACTCACGTTTGCTTAGAGAACAATTATTTCAATTTATGAAAAAAATTTCAGCAGGTCACCAACCTCCACGTTCGGATCAAAATCCGTCTTCACCCACTTCTTGAAATACACTACTAAATTGTAATGAACATAGTTTTCTTTGTCATCACTTAGTTTCAAGAACGATGATAATATTACTTTCGTTGTAATTTATTAATTTTAAGAGCTTTTTTTGAACTATTTTAGTTGTAATATTTAGTGTCAACAAAAAAGTACTATGGTTTTTAATATTTAGTTTTAATAACATATTTTTATAACTATTAGTTTTGATTTGGGAGATATTTATGATATTCACTAAAACAGCTTCTTGTGTTTCATATTGCGATTGATTTATTTTTAATAAGATGATTTAGCAAATTCAGTTTTAATATTAAATAAATTTGGCAGGAAATTTACAATTTCAATAATTTCATGCAGGTTTTAGTGATTAGTAACGGAATGTAAACGTCACTAAATATGTGAATTATGTTGTTCTTTAGTGACAGAATGTAAACGTCACTAAATAATTTAGTGACAAAAAGTATCCCTCATAAAATGAGTATTCATATAATAATATTCAATAATTAGTGACAGAATATAAACGACGCTATAGTATATTTAGTGAGGTATTTTAAAATCTCTCACAAACTACTGGCGAATTTTTTTCAATGATTTCTAATGGAAATTTCAATTTATTGAGGGATTAGTTCCGTTACTATTTATGACGGAATTTAAAATATCTCACAAATTATTTGCGACATTGAAATTCGATACGAATATTTGTACGTCGCTAAATCCGTCACTAAATATTTTTGTGAGAAAATTTTAGTGAATTAGTGACGGAATTATACCCTCTCTAAATTCAATTTTTTAAGTAGTGATTTGATCAATCATAAACCACATAATATCAAAAAATAAAGAATCTTCATATTATAAAATTGAAATCTATTTTTATCCTTGATTAAAACAGAACATGACATAGGAGAAAAAGTGATAGATATTAATCATAAAAGAAATATATTTTTAAATATATTTATATACTCATGATTACAACAAAATTAATATATCTATTTACTTATAATCAAATAGTATATCTACTTATCTTTTTGTTATGATAATTTCTTGTAATCTTGAATAAATATTATAAAACCCTTAGTACCGGTGATTTTACCAGAACCAGAAGTTGGTATACCCACGCTTATAATAAATACATTTGCATACGTCTCATTGTATCATTTAGATTAGAATCCCTTTTAAACGATGTAGTTTTTCTTTTGAGGTCATTGATTCCCTTATACTATCGAGCCCACTATTATTTTATTAATATTTGTAGAAAGAAAATAATTTGGGGTAGACTGCTGACGTGAGTCCTCACCGCATACAAAATGCCAAATCGCCGCCGTCTGTTTCATCATTTTACTTGTGACGTATGAGATGAGATGTATTTGGAAAACGACGCACCATTGCATTAGTTTATTATATAGGTAATTGTTATTTATTAGTACTAGTTTTTTTTTGTTGTCAAGACATGGCAATTGTTATGGTAAGTAACACCTGTGTTACGTAATTATTTTTGGTTCAAATATGTTAGATATTCAATATTCTAGGGTAATGCAAAAATATAAACAGTAAATTAATAATTATTTGTTAAAAAAGATTGAAATAAAAATTTTGACATAGTCATTTTTGTAAATTTATTCTATTTCTCTCTTTCCTATTTCTCTTCTCTTTTTATTATATCAAACAACTATTTTTTATATCTTTCTCTCTTCTCCCATTTACTCTTCACAATTTCTCTTTCAAACTAATCAAATCTGAAGTGTCTTTAAAAAAAACTTGTGAACCTAAAGTTTTTAAAAGAAAACCTTGAAGTTAGCAAAAATCAATCTAATGAACCTAAATCATCAAGGGTATGTTTGTTTAAGGAGAAGTTGGGGCAAAAGAAGTTGATGAGAGAGAAGTTAATGAGAAATGCATAATTTCTCTTGTTTGGTTTGAAGAGAAGATCAAGAAAAAGTCTAATTTAGTGTGGGTTACATCCCATTTTAGTTTCTTCGCTGAAGTGCAGAGAAAGATCGAAGAAATAAGTTTCACTTTTTTATCGATCTTACTCTTTTTATTGTCACTAATAGATACTTCATTTTACTAATTATAACTTCATATTTTACTGTGTGGATGTGTATCATAATTGCTCTACCATTTTACTGCAATTAAAAGTTTTTTATTTACTTTAAAATAAATAATTAATTAGTTAAATTAAAATAAATGATTAAATAATTTATTTACTTTAAATAGTTATTTGATTAATTATTTAAATTAACGTTAATTAAAAAGATGAAATTTAATTTTTAAAATATAATTTTTGTATAAAGAATATTTTGATACTTTCATACTTAATCAACACTTCTCTTTCTTCTATTTTTTTTCTCTTATAACAACCAATACTTCAAATCTATTCAACTTCTTATCCATTTCTCTCTTCTCCCACTCTATCTCTCATAGATTTCTCTCTTTACAACTTCTCTTTACAACCAAACATACCCCAACTAAACGAATACACTGTCACTAACACTTAATATACATTATTGGCCATTAACGATGTTTCGTACTCAAACCAAAGATATGTGTAAATCAAATAAACTTGAACTCCAATGTGGTGGAATGAACTTTCAATACATCGAAGTTACTAGTGCTAATGCAAGATTAATGGCTGACTTGTTGTTGATTTGCAGCACCAGAAGTTTCTTCACTTTGATCTTCATCTCTTAAAGCATAGATCTCATCTGAATTGCTTGACACGCAGCATATGATCCTACTATATATTCAACTTCACATGATAATAATGCCACCACATGTTGCTTTCTCGAGCACCATGAGATTGGGGTACCAAATACTCGAAAGAAGTAACTAGTTGTGCTTTTTCGATCTTCCTTATCTCCACAACAATCAGCACTTGAATAACAAGTAATCTCAGTTTCTTTGCTTTCAAAATCTTGTGGAAATAGAATTCCATAGTTTGTCGATTCTTTTAAGTATCTAAGGAATATTCTTTCAGCCTTCATATGTGACACCCTTGGTTCACTCATGTATCTGCTCACTAATCCAACTAAGAAACCTATATCAGGTCGATTGTTGCACACATATCTCTGAGATCCGATAATTTTTTTGAACAACGTGACATCAAATTTGTCTTCCTCTCCATGCTTCTTCAACTTCATATTTGGTTCGACAAGTGAGGATGCAGGATTAGAGTCTTTCATCCTGAATCTCTTGAGTATCTCTTTGACATACTTTCTTTAATATAACACCATACCTTACTTCGACATTTGAAATTCCATGCCTAGGAAGTACGGCGACTTTCCCATACCCGAAATTTCAAATTCCTTCTTCATCAGCTCTTTGAACTTCAACAACTTCTCCAAGCTATTTCCATTTACTAACAAGTCATCGACATATAAGTAGATGATTGTTATATCTTGTGCCACAACGTGAACATAGACATTGTTGCAGTGAGAATCGAATATCAAACTATTAATGAACTTGAATCACAAATCATGAAATTCACCACCGAGCTTTGATTTATCCAAAGGAAAGGGTAAAGATCAAAGAAAACCCTAAGTGTGCTATATAACAATAAAGCTAAGAGAATCTAAGGTTCGAGGTTGGTTATACCAGAGAAGGTGTTAGCATCTTAAGTATCTGTAGTACTCTACATGAACCTCTTATTTGTATTTGTGTTATTTTAAAGTTTTCTTGATAAGGAAAAGTGATAAGGTAAAGACCTAGGATATTTACAAAGTATGCTCGCCAAGACATCGCATCTCGTGCCTACGTATCCTAACTAGGACGGAATCAGAGCATTCGTAGTTCACCTCACTAAAGGGGAGGAACTCTTAACTATGGTCAAGGTTCCAAGGAAGGGTAGGTGTTCATAACCATGATACTTACATAGAATTAACAAACTCTCTAAGTCTAAGTTGAAAGACTAGCTAAGGTTTGACTCTTATCAAAGTCAAAGGGGAAAAGTGAATACACATTACAATGGTACTCACATAGAGTTTACAAACTCTATACTTAATTCTAAGTTATAAGAAAACAATGGCTCTAACAAGGTCAAGAGGGAAAGAATAAGGACTTATAATAATAGTACTTACATAGGGTTTATAAATCTTAAACTAAAGTTAGGTTGAAAATGGAAATGGATCTAACAAGGCCAAAGGGATACGTGATCCTAACAAGGTCACATGGTATGTAGGAAGGGTCTAAACTATCCTAAAGACATGACTTAAAAGTCAAAGAGGGAACCTTTCCTTTAGAATGAGGGACACATAACTTGCAACAACAAGTGTTTGAATAATAAGCTTTAAGGTAAGGGTGACAATAATTAAAGTACCAAAACCAAAGAAATCAAATGAGATAACAAACCAAGGAAGGCAGTAATTACATCATATTATGTTCAACGTGCTCAAATGATTAGGAAAAGGTCACAAACATATCAAATACACCAAAATAAAAAGCATACTTGCTACAAACTAAATCACACCAAGATAAAAGCAATTGATGGTTCAATCATGGAAGTTACAACTCAAAAACCACATGGGCAGTAGCATACACATCATGTAAAACTTTTATTTAACATCAATATGTCAATAGAATTACAAACAAGAATCACATCAAGGCATGCACAAAACTATAGGCAAGGAGCAAGCCAAAAACATCATGAAATGACTCAAACAAACCAAAACATGCATAGATGATAAAATGTGCAAGCAAGAACACTTAGGAATCATGAAATAAGAAGCTAAACATAACTTTCAAACCACACATAAACACATTTTCGACAAGACAAACACTCAAAGAATCATGTCCAAAAACTAGGTCAAAT